AAAACCAGGGGTCAGAGACGGTCATCTTAGGTCACGTGGCCTCATACACACAGGCAGGCACAGACAGGCAGATGCATATATTATACATACACAGACAGACACACACACACATCTTCTTTCTTTCTTTCTTTTTTATTCTACACACACACACACACACACACACACACACACACACACACACACACACACACACACACACACACACACACACACACACACACACACACGCACGCACACATTCTTTCTTTCATTCTTTTTTATTCTACACACACACAGGAACACGAACGAACACAGACTTCCACGAGCGCACGCCTACCCATTCGGACGCAGGCCCTTACTGGCGCGCAGACACAAGCGGCCGAATTTTTTGGTCCGCCACACAAAGGGCGCGCGGACAGGGAATCTACTTCGGTTCCTCCGTGCACGCACATGTGTCCGCGTGTGTTCTTTCCCCCCTCTCTCTCTCTCACTCCCTCTGTTCCTCCCTGTGTTCTCTCTCTTTCATCTCTGTCTCTGCCTCTCTCATTTTCTCCGTCTCTGTCATTTTCTCTGTCTCTGCCTCTCTCTCTCTCGCTCGCTCTTTTTTTCTCTCCCTCTCTCTTTTCTCTCTCTCTCTCTCTCTCTCTCTCTCTCTCTCTCTCTCTCTCTCTCTCTCTCTCTCTCTCTCTCTCTCTCTCTCTCTCTCTCTCCCTCTCTCTCTCTCTCTCTCTCTCCTTCTTCTTCCACGCCTCCACATTCATAATCCGTCACGCGTTGATGTCCATCGACCGAAACTCTCGCATAACGGAGAACACGAATAAAGAAGAATAGAAAGAGAGAAAAAAAAGAGATAACAAAAGAAAAGAATAAAAAAGACGAACGTATAATAACAATAATAAAGGTAGAGAATAAGTGAACCCAAGCAACTGGATTTCACGCCTGACGTAATGATATTCTGCGTGGGGGTTGCGTGCGGGCCAGGGACAAGTGTGGAAGCCATTTTCATTCATATTTTTGCGAGACGGAAAGTAAAATGTTAACCGGAAAACTAGACAATTTAACTGTGAGCTCACGACATAGCTTTGCTGTAAAGAAATCTGGGGTATGCTTTTTTTTAATGCCTTGTGGTCGATACTATCCAATTCGTATATTTGGATGTATATATATAACGGGAGTGTGGACATATATGCATACGTATACACACACTGGTATAATTACAGATACACACTTACCTAAAACACACACACACACACATACACATACACGTACACGTACACGCACACACACACACACGTATATCACCCAAAGGCGCACATGTACACACGCGCACGCATACACGCACGCACGCACGCACGCACGAGCACACACACACACACACACACACACACACACACACACACACACACACACACACACACACACACACACACAGCGCTATGTTGACCGTGTATGTTGTGCAACATGAGAACAGAGCATGACAAGACCCTGACTCACCCTAGGTCTTGTTCTGTGTTTGTTCGTATGTACAGCTGTACACGCAAGAGATATCTATACAGTGATAAAATTTAAATATTTTTTCTATACACAGTGTAACATCAGGATTTTTTTTTTTGGTGCTGGGAATAACTCAACTTATATATTTTTCATTTACATTCTTATCCAAAAGTGCATTAATCAACTTATTAGTTTAAATAGTTCCCGGTCAAAAGCACTAGCTAGGAAACAAGCAAACTGCCAGAAAGCAATATGCATGTTGCAGTTTTTATAAATATATTTTATACCTGCATTTTTTATCTATTTCATACATCTTATAGTCATTTTTTTATCGTATCAGTTTATAATTATATATATTATTTTCTTTTTAACCCTGAGTACAGTTTAATAATACTATTTCTAATACTTAGTAATATCTACTTAATTTCTATAAGCTTTATCGCTAGTGTGAAAAAACAGTATGAAAAATCACTAAGTCTATTTTGCATGTTCTTTGAATAATAATTGTGTCATTAATATTACTGTTAATAATAGTGATAATAGCAATAATAAAGAAATATGATTATACAAATAAAAATAATAAAACTATTAATAATAGTGATAATAGCAATAATATGGTGTTAATACACATAACAAAATGTCAATAATAAGAAGAATAAGAATAAGAATAAGAATAACAATTATAATAATAATAACTATTATAATAATAATAATAATAATAATAATAATAATAATAATAATAATAATAATAATAATAGCATTAATAATAATAATAGCATTAATAATAATAATAACAACAATAATAATAATAATAAATAATAATAATAATAAAATAATAATAACAATCATAATAATAATAGTAATAATAATAATAACAATATTAATAATAATGATAATAATAATAACAAACAATAACAATAAAAAAACAATATAAAAAAACGATAAAAAAATACTACAAATAATAACAATAATAACCACAAACAAAACAAAGTAACAACAATAAAAACAAACAAAGCGAAGAGCCTACCATTGAACAGGTGACCATCCGGTCCGACCCTCAGCAGCTTGAGGTCATACTGGGTCATGTCCTTCTCTCCGTAGCCCTCGAGGTCAGTGCCACCGATAGTCTCCTTCACGATGCCGTCCAGCTCGGGGTGGGATATCGTCTTCTTGCCCCGGCGCGCCAGGCACAGGATCAGGAGAACGAGCACTGGCGGGGGGGAGGGAGAGAGGGAGGGAGAGGTGGTTAGTTTAGGGGAGGGGCGTAGAGGGTGGGTGGGTGGGTGGGAGGGAGAGGTGGTTAGTTTAGGGGAGGGGCGTAGAGGGAGGGAGAGAGTGAGAGACATTAGTTGGGGTGAAAGGAGGGAGGGAGGGAGAGAAGGAGGGAGGGAGGGAGGGAGGGAGGGAGGGAGGGAGGGGAGGGAGAGAGGGAGGGAGGGAGGGAGGGAGGGGAGGGAGGGAGAGACATTAGTTGGGGGGAAAGGGAGGGAGGGAGGAGGAAGAGAGGAAAGGGAAGACGTTAGTTGGGGTAAAAGGAGGGAGGGAGGGAAGGAGGAACGGAGGGAAGGTGGGGAAGGGAGGGAAGGAAAGACGTTAGTTGGGGCGAAAGGAGGGAGGGAGGGAGGGAGGGAGGAAGGGAGGGAGGGAGGGAGGGAGGGAGGAAGGAAGGGAGGAAGGGAGGGAGGTAGGGAAGTACTTGGAATGAAAAGAGAACGTGAGAGGGAAGGGAGGGAAAGAATGAAAGGAGAGAGGGATGAAGGGGAGGAGGCAGAGTGGGAGAGAGGGAGTTTGGATAAAAGGGGTGAGGAGGAGGGAGATTAATTAAGGAGAAGGAGAGCAAGGGAGAGAGGTTAGTAAGGAAAGAAAGGGATGGAGAAAGGGAGGAAAGGATGAAGAGAAAAGAGGGAGAGTGGGAGGAAGGGAAGGAAGAGAGAGGAGAGGGTGGGAAGGAAGAAGAGCGAATGGGGAGACAAAAAGGAACGACAAAACCCCAGAAAAAGGCAAAGCGATGGAAGGAAGAGGGAGGAACACCATTAACAAAGGAAAAAAGAGATAAAAACTGCCACGGAATTGTGAAGAAAGGAAGAATACGATGATAAAACCTGATAAGAGACGTTCATTCAATCAATAAAGTTACGTTTTTTTCCTTTTTTTTAGAAACCACTTCCACCGTCCCACACAACTCACGTATGAGGCACGACAGGCTGACCACGATGATGATGATCGACTGCTGGCCCAGGATGACCTTCGCGGGCGTGGGGGCGTTGCAGGGCAGGTACGTCGATCGGGTGTAGTCGGTGGAGTTGAGGTCGTAGAGGTAGTCGTTGTAGCGGACCTCGAGGACGCAGCCGAAGATGGGCTGCACGACGGGCGGCACGATCGTCCACTCGTAGGAGGAGGCCAGTTCCTCGAAGGACGGCATGGTGTCCACCACGCCCCCCAGCTGCAAGGGCCCCGGCGTGTTGAGCAGCACGCTGGGGCTGATGGTGCCGGGCAGGGGCGTGGTCTTCTTGCAGGCGGTCGCGGAGGAGCTGCTGTTGCCGAGGCAGTTGGGTACCTCGAGGCTGATGCCGTCGTCGGTCCACGAGAGGAAGAAGTCGAACGAGCGCTTGCTGTTCTGCTCGAGGTTGACCTTCATCCCGACGGTGCCCGAGCCGAGGTCGAGGTACGCCTCCAGGACCCAGTTCCTGAGCACCACGTAGACGAAGTCCTTCGGGTAGTCCTGCCACGGCCTGGTCAGCATGGGGCCAGCGTAGAGCAGCAGGCCGTCGGGGTCGCGCGTCTCGAAGCTCATGGAGAAGGACGAGTTGTCGCACACCTTGGGCGCCTCGTACCACGCGAAGCCCATCTCGAAGCGCGCGTTGGTGAGCTCGCAGCGCGGCCCGTAGTTGGCGCTGTCGGGGCACTCGCACACCAGCGTCTGGTTGGCCTCGACGCAGGTGCCGCCGTTGAGGCAGAAGCCGTCGTGGCATACCGTGTGCGGGGGCTCCAGGGCGCCGCAGTCGCACGTGTAGTCGTCGGCGATGTCCACCCCCACCATCGTGGTGACGTCGGACGCCACGACCAGCGGGGACGTCAGGTTCGGGCGCAGGGTGTGCTGGCACGACTTCTCCTGGCACGGCGACAGCGACTCGTACAGGCAGCTGTTGATGTCCACCAGCGGGATGCTGATGCCCAGGTCGGCCATTATCTGGAGACACGAGGCGGACGCTAGAAAGGCAGCCTACTTCGAGGTCTAAATATCTTAATTAGACCTTGGGCTATTTAAAACACACACACACACACACACACCACCCCCACCCCCCACCCACCCACCCCCACCTCCCCTTCCCTCCTCTTACCTCCTCCCGCGACGCCAGCATGAGCCCATCCAGACGCGCCGCTGTGTAGTAGGGCGAACTGTGGCAGTTGTAGCGCACGTCCACGCCCTCCGCCACGTCCTTCAGGCCGAACACGTCCACGTTCTCGGCGGGGATGCCATGCACTCGGCCGATGCGCTCACGGAGGCGGGCGTACAGACTGGCGCCACCGGACTGCAGGAGACGCGCGGTAGGCGTTTTAGTGATTCGCTTTTCTCGAAATTTGTATAGATATTCTTAGCTGTATCTGTGACATTTTAGTAAGGTATTCGTTATATTTTCATTATATATTAGACATAAACATTATCTATCTATCTCTCTATCCATCCATCTACCTCTATATCTATCCATCTCTCCATCTATCTCTCTATTTATCTATCCATCCATCTATCTAACTAGCCATCTAACTCTCTATCTATCCATCTCACTCTCTATCTGTCCATCTATCTCTCTATCTATCCATCCATCTATCTATCTATCCATTCATCTATCTCTCTATCTATCCATCTCTCTCTCTCTCTATCTATCTATCCATCCATCTCTCCATCTACCTATCCATCCATCTATCTATCTATCCAACTCTCCATCTATCTATCTACCAATACGTACCTCACTCTGTTTGACGATGTCGTGGGCGGTGTGGTTGGCGACGCGGAAGGACCCCGACTGCATGACCGCTTCCTCCGTCAGGTCGACCACGTGGATGTTGACCGTGCCGATGGCCGTCTCGTCGCGGAAGGTGTCGGTCACCTGGCGGAGGGAGGGGGGGGGGATTGGTTAATTTTCGAATTTTCTTTCTTTCTCTGTCTCTCTCCCTCTCTCTCATATATCTATGTGTGTGAATATATGAATGAATATATATATATATATATATATATATATATATATATATATATATATATATATATATATATATATATATATAAGTGTGTGTGTGTATGTATGGGTGGTGTGCGTGTGCGTGTGTGCGTGTGTGTGTGTGTGTGTGTGTGTCTATATAAGTGTGTATATATATCTATAATATGTACGCGCGCGCACACACACACACACACGTCCACGGCCACACAAACACGAAAAGGACGCATCCCCGGCAGCCGAGGACGAGCCCCCGACGTACCTTGACCCTGAGCGTGTGCGTGCCCTCCGGCGTGCCCTTCTTCATGGTGATGTTGCCCGTGTTGAGGTTGACCTCGAAGTACGTTCCGTCCGAGGGCGAGGAAGGGTCCAGCTCGAAGATCTTGTCGGTGACGTCATAGTCGTCGAGGTCGGTGACGTAAACGGAGCCGATCACGATGTCTGGAAACTGGCCCTGAGGCAGAGATAGATAGATAGATAGATAGATAGATAGATAGATAGATAGAGAGATAGAGCGAGTGAGAGTGATAGATAGATAGATAGATAGAGGGAGTGAGAGTGAGTGAGTAAGAGAGAAAAATTGTATTATTGATTTCTATTTCACTTTTTTTTTAAATTATTTCACCGCAAAATAAACACTCCCAACGGCCCCCTTCCCCCTTTCGCCCCCCTTACCCCATCCCCAACCCCCCCTTTCCCTCCTCCCCCCCATCCCCCTTTCCACCCCTCCCCCATCCCCCTTCCACCCCCCCCTCCCCCCCACACCCCATCACCCCCACCTCGCCCTCCACCTACCTGATAATTATAGACGTTGATGGCGCTCTCTCCGTCCGTCATCGGGGAGTCGTTCTCGTCGCCGACCTCGAGGGAGAGGACGCGCGTGCCCGCCACCCCCCAGCGGTCCTTCGTGCGGAACGGGATGCGGTAGACCTTCTGCTGCTCGCGGTCCAGGACCACTTTGGGCCGCAGCTCGTACTGGGAGTTGGTTCTGGAAAGGAAGGGGAGGGGGAGAGGGGGGGGTTAGAAGTCCAGCCTTAAAAGAAACCTGCTCATTGCAAGACATTCACTCTTAAAACTCACCTCCCTTTTTCTTCATTCTCTCCTAAGTCACCCGGTTATTACTTCCTTTCCCCCTCTAACTGCCCTTAGAAACCCCTTTACTTAAACCACCCTTAATAAACTCTCTTGACTTCAGCCACCCTTAAAAAAATCTTACTCAAACCACCCTTAGAAAACTCTCTTTACTTCAGCCACCCTTATAAAACTCTTTACTTCAGCCACCTTTAAAAAAAAAAATCCCCTTCCTCAAACCACCCTTATAAAACCTCCCTTTCCTCCAATCACCTTAAAAAAAAAAAAAAAAAAAAAAAACTTGACACCACACACACCCTTCCAAAAAAAAAAAACACTATTCCCACCAGCCTTCAAGAACTCACCCTCCCGTGACGTCGAACTTCTGCATAATATCCGCAGGCGTGTTCTGGTCGAAGGCGAGGGTACAGGGGCAGCCGTTCTCGTCGCTGTCCCAGTCGTCCAGCTGGATCACCACCCTGTGCCCCGGGCTGTTTGGCTCCTGGTTCTCCATCAGGACGGCGTAGCTGTTGTCCTGCGGGAGAGGGAGGGAGAGGGAGTGAGAGAGGGAGGGGGAGGGAGTGAGAGAGGGAGGGAGAGGGAGGGAGAGGGAGTGAGAGAGGGAGGGGGAGGGAGTGAGAGAGGGAGGGGGAGGGAGTGAGAGAGGGAGGGAGAGGGAGGGAGAGAGGGAGGGGCACAGGGAGAGAGGGAGGGGGAGGGAAGGGGAGAGACTGGAAGGGAGAGTGAGAAGGAGAGAGAGAGAGAGAGAGAGAGAGAAGAGAAGAGAAGAGAAGAGAAGAGAAGAGAAAAGAAGAGAATGAGAGAGAGAGAAAGAGAGAGCGATAGCAAGAAACCAGGAGGAAGAGAAAGAGGGAGATTTAAAAAAAAAAAGTTTCCTGAAGATCCCGTGGCAGAAGAGTCAGAGAAAAGCCCAGACCAAAACGAAACATAACAACAACAACAACAACAACAAAAAAAAACTCCCACTCACCGGACTCTGAATATAAGGATGGTTATCGTTCACGTCGTTGATGTTGATGATGACCGTGGCGGGGATGGCGTCCAGGCCGTTCCCGCCTTCGTCCATGGCGTAGGGATAGAGAGTCATCGTCCCTCGGTTGGCGGCCTCGCGATCCAAGCACTGGGGATAGGAAGGGACGGGCTGAGGGACGAGGCGCCGAAGGGGAAACAGCACAGGGCGAAGACGTCTTTTAAAACGTACACACAGATAGAGGCGTCTTTTAAAACGTACACACAGATAGAGGCGTCTTTTAAAACGTTTACACACACATATAGGCGTCTTTTAATAGGTACACGCACATATAGGCGTCTTTTAATACTTACACGCACATATAGGCGTCTTTTAATAGGTACACGCACATATAGGCGTCTTTTAATACTTACACGCACATATAGGCGTCTTTTAATACGTACACGCACATATAGGCGTCTTTGAAAACGTACGCACATATATAGGCGTCTTTTAAAACGTACACACACATATAGGCGTCTTTTAAAACGTACACACGTATATAGGCGTCTTTTAAAACGTTTACACACACATATAGGCGTCTTTTAAAACGTACACGCATATATAGGCGTCTTTTAAAACGTACGCACATATATATTGCGTCTTTTAGAACGTACGCACATATATAGGCGTCTTTTAAAACGTACGCACATATATAGGCGTCTATTAAAACGTACACACACATATAGGCGTCCTTTAAAACGTACACACACACACACAGGCGTCTTTTAAAACGTACACACACATATTTATCAACCGACAAAGAGGAGGATATTTTCTCTCAAGGCGTCTAATAAAGACACACATCCAAACCATCCTACAACACAAACACTTAAAACCTCATCCGCCGCCCTTTCGTTTGGCAATACGGATCTCGAGGCGGGCCGACTTCGTCCAAAAAAAAAAAAACAGAGTAGTTTCCCCTCCGTACTTACGCCCTTGAGAGTGAGGTCTCCCGTTTTCTCCGCGATGGTGAAGTTCCTTTCGTCTTCGGTCGACAAGAAGTACTGGATATTCTGGTCGGCGGTGCTCGGCAGGTCGGGGTCAAGGGCTGTCACCTGCGAAGACAAAACGTTCTATACGTTAATCGGGGGGGGGGGGGGGGAACGTAAACTAAACTCTAAGGCAGTAGGATACATAACAAACTCGTCCGCTCTTCAAATATTTTCTCTATCTGAGTTTTACAAAAAATAAATAAAAAAATAAATAAAAAAATAAAAAACAAACAAACAAACAAACAAAAAGAGGAGGATAATTAGTTACGATTCATCATGTACATTCCCTCCCTCCCCCCCTCCCCCCACACCCCTCATTTTGTATTTCCACCACGAAATATGAATTCCAAGCAAGAAGGAAAAGGTCCATGAAAACTTCCGACCGAATCACAAACCACCCTACGACCCCCCTTACGAGCTCCCTACGACCCCCTTACGAGCTCCCTACGACCCCCTTACGAGCTCCTTACGACCCCCTTACGAGCTCCTTACGACCCCCTTACGAGCTCCTTACGACCCCCTTACGAGCTCCCTACGACCTCCGTACGACCCTCACCTTCCCGATCTGGATGCTGCAGTTGACGTTCTCGGTAACGGTGAAGTTGTAGTTGCTAGGTTGGAAGACGGGCTGCTGGTCGTTGTCGTTGGTGACGGCGATCGTGATGACCGTCTCTGCGGGCTGGTTGGCGCCGTCGGACAGACGCACCTTCATCGTGAACTGGGGGAAGGAGGAGGGGCGGCGTCAGAGGAGGGGGAAATAGGGGGGGAGGGGGAAATGGGGGAAGAGGAGGCAAGGGGAAGGAGGAGGGGCGGCGTCAGAGGAGGGGGAAATAGGGGGGGAGGGGGAAATGGGGGAAGAGGAGGCAAGGGGAAGGAGGAGGGGCGGCGTCAGAGGAGGGGGATATAGGGGGGGGGGGGAGGGGCAGCGTCAGAGGAGGGGGAAATAGGGGGGGAAGGAGGAGGGGCGGCGTCAGAGGAGGGGGAAATAGGGGGGGGGGAGGGACGGCGTCAGAGGAGGGGGAAAAGGGGGGAGGGAGAAATGGGGGAGGAGGAGGGACGGCGTCAGAGGAGGGAGAATGGAGGAAAGGAGAGATGGTGGAGGTAGTGAGGCAGGAGCAAGGGGAGAAATAAGGGGGGGGGGAGACGGCGTCAGAGGAGGGGGAAAGGAGGAAAGGAGAGATGGTGGAGGTAGTGAGGCAGGAGGAAGGGGAGAAATAAGGGAGGGGGGGGAAGGGAGAGGAAGAAGTGGGGGAGAAGGAAGGGAGAAAAGAGTACAGGTAGATGGAGATGGAAAGAGGTAGTTTTGGAAGAAAAGGAGGAGGTAGTGGTGGTGGAGGAGGAGGAAGAAGAGGAGGAGGAGGAGGAGGAGGAGGACAAGTAGGAGGAGGAGGAGGAGGAGGAGGAGGAGGAGGAGGAGGAGGAGGAGGAGGACGACGATGACGAGGAGGAGAAGGAGGAGGAGGAGAAGAAGGAGGAGAAGGAGGAGGAGAAGGAGGACGAGGAGGACGAGGAGGAGGAGAAAAGTGTATAGGGAGAGAAGGAAGAAGTGATGAAAGGAAAGGTATTGAGGGAGGAGGAAGAGGTGGTGGAGAAGAAGGAAAAGGAAAAGGAGGAGGAACAAGAGATTGAATTTCCACTTAGTCTAACAATTAAATTCCCATTAAACTCAAATTTAAATTTCTTTCTAATCCAAGCATGAAACTCCCACCCGGTCCAGGCGCTCAATTCCCACCCATTCCAAGAATTAAATTCCTACCAAATCCAGGCAGGAAATTCTCACCCAACCCAAAAAATTCCCCAAAAGATTCCCACTGAATTCCCACCCAACCCAAAAATTCCCACTGAATTCCCATCCAACCCAAAAAAATCCCACTGAATTCCCATCCAACCCAAAAAAATCCCACTGAATTCCCATCCAACCCAAAAAAATCCCACTGAATTCCCATCCAACCCAAAAAAATCCCACTGAATTCCCATCCAACCTAAAAATTCCCACTGAATTCCCATCCAACCCAAAAAATTCCCACTGAATTCCCATCCAACCCAAAAATTCCCACTGAATTCCCACCCAACCCAAAAAATTCCCACTGAATTCCCACCGAACCCAAAAATTCCCACTGAATTCCCAATCAACCCAAAAATTCCCACTGAATTCCCATCCAACCCAAAAATTCCCACTGAATTCCCACCCAACCCAAAAAAATCCCACTGAATTCCCATCCAACCCAAAAAATTCCCACTGAATTCCCATCCAACCCAAAAAAATCCCACTGAATTCCCACCGAACCCAAAAATTCCCAATGAATTCCCAATCAACCCAAAAATTCCCACTGAATTCCCACCCAACCCAAAAAAATCCCACTGAATTCCCACCAACCCAAAAATTCCCAAAACAAAATCCCACCCAACCCAAAAATTCCCAAAACAAAATCCCACCCAACCCAAAAATTCCCAAAACAAAATCCCACCCAACCCAAAAATTCCCACTGAATTCCCACCCAACCCAAAAATTCCCACTGAATTCCCACCCAACCCAAAAATTCCCAGACACTCTAATTCCTTACATTCCTGTCGTTGGTCGGGAAGTCGTAATCCAGAGGCTGGTTGACCAACACGTCGCCGGTTGTCGCGTCGATCCGGAATTTCTGGTAATCGTTGCCTTCCACGATCTGGAACTCGTTGTGGTTGACTGGTGGGAGAAAGGGGGGGTGGGAGGTGTTAATGCTGGTTGGGGTATGGTGGCTGGGGTATGGTGGCTGTGAATGTGTTTCTGGTTGTGGTATGACTGTGATGGCGTTAGGGCGCCACTGGCAAACGCAAAACAATCCATTCTGAAAACACAAAATCACACACACACCAAAAATCACAAATATTAGAAAGAAACACAAAACACCGAAAAAAAAGACGAAGAACATGTAGAATAGAAAGGAAGAAAAAACTCATCACTGAACACGAAAAAACATACTAATACGAAAAGAAAGAAGGAAAAAAGGAACGAAACAAACTACACATTCTCTCTCTCTCTCTCTCTCTCCCTCTCTCTCTCTCTTCTCTCTCCTCTCACCTCTCTCTCTCTCTCTCTCCCTCTCTCTCTCTCTCTCTCTCTCTCTCTCTCTCTCTCTCTCTCTCTCTCTCTCTCTCTCTCTCTCCTCTCTCTCTCTCCCTCTCTCTCTCTCCTCTCTCTCTCTCTCTCTCTCTCTCTCTCTCTCTCTCTCTCATACACACACACACCCACCCACACCCACCGACACACACACACACACTCGCGCCCTTCACACTAACCGACATCGGGATCGAGGACGACCAGCTTGATGCCCGTGTCCTTGCCGACGTCCGTGCGCTCCGGAAGCTCCACCTCGAGCACGCTGCTGGCGTTGAAGCGGGGAGGCTCGTCGTTCACGTCCTGCACCGTGATCCAGTACGTGCGGCGGCGGACATGGCCTGCGGGGGCAAGGGGCGAGGGGTCAAGGGGAAAAAAGCGAAGGGGTCAAAGGTCAAGGGGTTGGGTGATGGGGTCAAGGGTGAAAAAGCGAAGGGGTCATGGGGTTAGGTGGTGGGGTCAGCGGTCAAGGGTGAAAAAAAGGAAGGGGTTGGGTGATGAGGTCAAGGGTTAAGGGTGAAAAAGGGGTCAAAGGTCAAGAGTGAAAAAGGGAAGGGGTCAAGGGTCAAGAGCGAAAAAGGGAAGGGGTCAAGGGTGAAACAGGGAAAGGGTTAAGG